TCTGGAAAGAAGAGTGTCCGACCTTTCTCCAAGAGGCTGTGCGCAGGGTGCACATGCGCATCGGGGCACATGGAGAGCTTTTCTGTCGCTGCCTCTTCCCGATTCCGAGGTAGTGTTTCCCGGCCGCCGAGCTTGACGTCAAGGTTTGGCGGGGCAAGGTTCCCTTTCCCTCGCGCTTTGCAGGGGAAGTTTTTGTTGATGGCTCAGCCTTCCACGCCTCCATGGCTGGAATCAGCCGGGCTGGCTTCTCGATTGTCCAGATCGATCGAGCGGGAGTCGTCACCGCTGCTTGGTACGGGATCGTGCCCACTGCGTCGGGGCCTCACCGGCAGGCCCGCGATGGGGAGGACATGGCAAACGTGGGGTCCCGACACCCACCGCATGTGTATTCAGATTGTGCAGCTACTGTCTCTTGTGCCGCCGACCCTGGAGTGGCCCTGTCGGTTATGCAGCCCAGGCAACACTTCTGGAGGGGCTGGTGGGGGGACGACGGGGTCGGGCACCGTGCTTCTGTCAGCAAGGTCAAAAGTCACCTCGCTGAGGCCAATGCGCGTTCAGACCAGGATTCCTGGCTGAACAAGGGCAATGCGGCGGCGGACAGATCTGCAAAGCTTGGCGCGAAATTGTGGGTCGTGCCGCCGCAGCAAGTTTTTGTTCATCCAGGGTCTCGAGAGCATGGCCTAGACGGCCACCGGGTGGCATTCGACGGCCCAGCATGTGTTCGCGGACTCGTTTTTTTTTTTTTTTTTTTTTTTTTTTTTTTTTTTTTTTTTACTCGCGCGGAGTTGCTGGGACCTCGGATGTCACTCTCGAGATTGACCCAGAGTTCTGGGAGGCACTTTGCGAGGTGTGTCTGGAGGCGGGGGTGGGGCCTTCTGAAGGTGTCCACGGGGCTCGGCTTCTCGATGCTGCTTCTGCTGCCGACCCTCCCCCCCTGCCCCGGCCCCGAGAGCGTGCAGAGCTCTGGGGCCCTCTGGGACTTAAGTGGGCGCTCAGTGGTTCAGGCAGAGCTCCAGCAGGTCCCTGGCGGGCCCGTGGTCCTAGAAGGAGATGCCCTTCTCTTCTGCAAGGTCTGCGGGGCGAAAAGCGAGGGCCTGGACGGCCAATATCAGGGTTCAGCAACTCCTGGATCCAAGACCCACTGGTCTAGGCTCCGTAGAGGGCTCTTCCCAGTGTCTGCCAGGCTTGGGGCTCGGATTGGCGACGCGTCAGGCCCGTCCGCGGCGCAGGTGGCCGCCTGGGCGCCGAAGCTGCCTTCGCCTTCTTGCGGTGCGAGTTCGGCGGCCACGCCGACGTCGGCGGAGA